CATTCTTTGGTTGAAAATTCTCTAGAGACCTGAATTGCCAGCCGATCATCGGCCGACCAATGGATGAGGTTGATCCTGAATAAATTCCAAAGAGATCTGTCTAGTCGAAATTTTGAAAAAAATTATCGGTTCAGGGTACATGGGTTTAGGGTTTGTCTGAAAAGTTTATCGTTTAAAGTACAGTGTCTTGGGTTCGACCTCAATGGGTCTCGAGCCTATGGATATTAAATACGAGAACTCAGAACTTATAATCACCTTTTAGAAAACTCCGAATTTCAAAGCTCATCATTTCAGCCCACATTAAGAAAGAATTAAGCCATATGGACCCAATAAGTGAAAACATGAGGAGCACTGAACGAAACACCCAACCCTAACCTGATGATCCCATGAGCCCAGAGCTTATAAACCTCAGCTTATAAGCCATCATACGGAGATAGAAAGCAATCACCGTCGACATTAGCATGATCCAATGTGCACCACTCTTAGATAGAAATAAAGGTCGAATAATGAGTATGTTCACAAGTTTCTCGCGTTTAACGATGATTTTTCCTCTTTTGGGGCTGGTAATTCGAGACAAATATTTTTTTTTCTTTTTTTCGGAATTTATTCAGGATCAACCTCATCCATTGATGTCTCGATGTGATCGGTTGGGAATTCAGGTCTCTAGAGATGGTCGAACCAAAGGATGTCATCTGGCCTCACTGTGCGACGTATCGCGCTGCGTTGCGCAACAGTCGAAAGCGGCGATCACGCGAGCGTTGTAAAATAATCTATCCGAAGGGCCGTGAGAGTCCGCGTGCGTACAGACGAGGAGCGTCGCGCGCGATAGATAAAGCGTCCCTTTCATTCCACGGATCACTCCGCGGCCGGTTTCGGGTAAACGCGAGGGAACACGTCGCTGACAACAAGTCGCGCGCGCCGTTTCGCCCGGCCGTTTTCGGCTGCCGCGATTCGCCCCGTGCGAGGTACGAACTGCGAAATACGAGGCAATAAAAGCCGCGGCGGCGCGCTATCGCCGCGTTAACGCGCGCTGTGTGTGTTGCGCTATAAGCCGGCGTGCGGCGTAAAAGTCGGCACAACTGCGCCGGAATATGGCTACAATTTGAATGCTACGCGGCTTCATTTACATGTCAAAAGAGAACAGTCGATTATACCGTCCGTGCGCGCGCGGTAGCAATGTTCGCGGACGCGGGTCGTAACTATATACGGACGCGCGTAACGCGGAATCACGCACACGTGATTCTCATATTCAGCCCGATCGGATGTACGAGGATGGGCCGCCTATGCTTCCTCCTGGAGCCTCGTGCTCGTGATGCCTGCGAGAATGTGCGAAAATCGAGCCGTATACCCCCGTGTCCGCGACGGAATCCCGGGTCGCGCGATTTTCGACGGCGACGCGGCACAGGTTCGACGACCGCACGATCAAATTGAATAATGAGCGCGCCGCACCGCGCTGAAAATTGAAGAGAATTGTCCGCCGAGTGGGCTTACGCAATGACGCGCGGTGATGATCGCACGCAGTTGCCGCGGTTTTAATGGGATCGAGGAAACGAACGGGGGGAAGTCGAGTCTCTTCATCGCGACGCGATTGACTCCGGGACCTCCGCGCGCAACCAACTCGCTTTCGCGCGTATTCTCTTGGGGGGAATTTCGGGGGAGTTCGCATAATTACTTACTGTCAATCGAACGCGCTGACCTGTAACGCGTGTCTTGTTAAATTTGGCACAAGTCTGGCGGGTCTAACGGCCCCGTTATGGGTCCTTTTCGTTGATTTACGACATCGCTTGTTTCCGAATCGTGAATTCGCCAGAGTGTTCGGTTAAAGAAACACAGCAAACTAAGTTCGAAATGCCGTATATACCCGGGTCGAAAGTTTGCTCCTACATTAGTTTCGCGAATTCCGTTAAACTCGCAGAAACCGCAGTGGAGAAACCGCGAAATATAACACTATTGTCCAACTTTGCAGCCTCATAATGCGGCTGCTTTCTTCATGTTGAGCCGTAACGACGTTTCAGAATTATTCAATATTCGACTATTTCAACTGTATTCTACCTTTATGTGATCTGTAATTTTAATTAAAAAAAAAAAGAAAAGACACTAATTGCATAACTTAACTGCGCACAAAATATGTGAGATAAACAAACATTAAATATTTAATGTAAATAAACGGATCGATAAATTTTCTTTCTTCATCATTCTTCCTTTCTCTTCTCTGATTGAAAATTTTTGAAAGATTTAGAGCCCTCTTGAGAGCCGAAAGAAAGTTGTGAAGTTACAAGTAGCGTCCAGGAATGTTCTATACCAAAATTTAAATTCTTGAATTTGGTACTTAATAACAAAGCTGCGAAAGCGAAAAATGACAAACGAACGAAAGCGAAAAGGAGGGATAACAGATTCAAAATGAAATGTCTCGTGGTTCCAAGAACAGACAGTAAAAAAAAATACCACACGTGAAGTATACACTAAATTTCAAGGCCGATATTTACAGTTTTACATTACTTGCAATTTTCGATCAAGCGCGCGATTAATTATGTATTCGCAAACCGATATTATGTTATCGCTGTTCGGTCAATATTTCTTGTTGTATGAGAGATAGGAACAATTACAGGTTAGCGAATAATCAGATATTACAATTCGTCGACTGTACTAACTGAAGTATAAATGTCGCCCAAAATTTCAAAGCGGGAACTCTCTTATTCTCCGCAAATGCGTCGAATTAAATTCGAAAACTTTCCAAATAATAAATTACTTGAGACACCTGGGAATATCTGGGAACGTGTCGTCGTCCCGCGTCCTTCATCCTGGCTTCTTGATCCAACATCCTGTCTCCTGATTGTTTCGTTGTGGTACACCGGATACTCCCCCGTGGCACCGACACTCGCGTATATTCAATTGGAGAAACACGTGTTAATTAACACGATGCCGACGAGAGCACGATTAAATATTTCACGAACCGCCGAAATAGTTTAAACATCCGACGGGAATAATAACCGCTGAAGCAGCGACACACGCACTACGTAATAACTGGATCGCTCGCCGGCTCGAAACATAATCATTCAAAATCGCTCGAAAACATACGCGACACGCGAAGATACGTCTCGCCGTCTTGAAGGTCTGACGTATCTTGAGGGTGTTGATTGTTGTCATTTTACTTTTGGCTGTTCAGGAACGAGCGATGACGGTTGGCGGTTGATGGAAGATGACGAGGCCCTTTTTTTTGCGCATTATTTTACCTTCCTCGCGCATGCGTTATCTACCTTTTTACATTTTACGAGCAGATACGTCGATCGAGTTATTGTGCTTCGAGCTGACAAACGACGGACATATTGCGACATGAAGTATGTGTATCGGTTGAGCGATTAAAATATTTCGTCATCTTTTAAAGTCGTGCTATCGTGTTAACATGTGTTTCTCCGATCAAATTCACGCGAATGTCAATGACACGAGCGAATATCTGGCAAATAGCAGGATTAAGTAGCGGGGAGCGGGGTAGATGCATCGAAAAGCCGTGTTTCCAAGATATGTGAGATTATTTGTTACACACGTGACACTCTCGATTTCAACGGACATTTGACAAATTTGTTAAGAACAACGAGATGCGAGCAATTGTTACTGTATCAAATATCAAATAGAAATTTAAATTCTATATTAGTGCGACACATTAATTATTAGATGTATCGTTATTACTCTAGGCCCATTGCAAGTTCTTTTCGACTCTTTTGAACTCTCCAAGTCCAATAAAAATGTTCAACGTTAATAAAAAAAAAAAATAACAGAGATTATGAAGAGAGAAAATTTGTTTCATTTTACTTTGTCCAGTGATTTTTAGATTACTTAATATTTGATTATCGTACTCTTACTTCATCTGCAATTAAATAACGCATTGAATTTGCTTCGTTTAATAAGATTTAAAGCAAAGATTTTTTTAAACACACAGCGAAAAACACAGCAATAAGTAACTTTAATTGCATCAAGATAAAAAATAGTTTGTACAATCTGTTGCATCCGAAGATTCTTCGTTAGTTTTTCAAATCCGATAGGATTTTCAGAATTAATGAAAAATCCAAAGTGTCGACTTGGATACCCGACTTGTAAAGAAAAAATAGTTTCTCACAATCTTGCTTTCGTATCATTTCACGCGCTGTTTGCCACAGAGTATATACTGGCTATAAAGAAAAAGCTATATAAAAACAGAAACTCAACTCTAAATCACTATTCACACTCAATAACTCGTCATGTAATGAACGCTTAGTAAATCAGAAACCGGGTATTCGCAATTAGAGCAGCTGCTGTGCTACGTGCCGTTTCGCACAGACGCGCTGTAAATTTTCTCGGAACAGGTGCCTTTATCGCTGATACGAAATGACGAACATTCCTCGAATATTCGCGATTGCGAACGTGACTCTTGCGCCGCGAATTTTTCCGCGACTCTTGTTTTACACAAAAACCGATAAAAATAGTTTCAGGAGACCGCGAGGAAAACAAGTTCGAGGAGAAGCGAGCGATATATATGAAGAAGATTGCAAAAATGGGCCGAGCCATCGCGAACGTCGTCTATAATTCATTTCGAGCACTATTTTAGCGACATTGGACATAAGTAGAGTACCGCAAACGGTCGTAGTTGTTGAGGAGAACTTTTTATGTTCTCATTGTGCACACTGCGTTGACTCATCGCTTCGCGATAATAGCCACGGAGCGGATAATTCACGTGCGAAATTAGTATTGCGAGAGATCGGTCTTTATGCACTCACGGAACGTTCCTCCAGTCTATACTTGACTATAAACTGTTATCGTCCGTATGTGTGACGATCTTTTTTTGCCGACTACAAGCATCGACAGCGATTATCGTACGTAAGAATTATTTGCATCAACCATTACATAGGAATGATCTTAGTTTTTTTGCGGAATATAATCGACTGCATTTTCTTTTGTCGTGTGCATATGTAATCGCGCACGAACATTATTAAAGTGCAATTTTGCATTTCTTCTCGTAGACTCACCTTTTCATCCAGATTGTTCAGATCCGGCAGCTGAAACAAGAAAAATAGACAAGCATGAGTTCACGATATGAAAGAACGAGATTATAAAAATATCGGATATCGTCGGAATAAAATAAAATAAAAAGAAAAAAAAAAAAACAGCAAACCGGTGATTTTGAATCTGTGTTTTATATTAAATGTTACTGGTTTACTTTGTGTTATATAAATTGTTACTTTCGAACGCATCGGGGTCAAACTCGCAAGCTGATTGTCAAGCGCATTAAAATCAATTGAGGTTAAAACTCGTGTGTTACAGAAAGTCGTGTTGTCCTTGTTCTTGCCTGTCTTCCACGATATTGACCAATCCATCGGTCTCGATGCGAGTCATTTGCTTACTTCGACAGTTAATATTACGATGTGCAGAATATAGAATTAATCAATGATTGACGTAACGGTGCTCTAAGACGTGTTTTGTCGGTCGAGGATCACGTGGCTTCGGGACTAACACATACTCGCACGCACTCGTACGAAACTGTCGAACAATGAAGATCCTTGACGTCCTTGACGCGGCGGTAAACAGATTGAGAAACGCGATTCCAATTTTCCCGATCGAATATACTTGAAAAGTGTATTACGCGTTACATATTATGCTAGCACGTAGTCTCACAAGGGTGACGCGATATCGCTTTTCCGTGTTTCGCTGCTTTTAAAGAGAAATATGAAGTCCCGAGCCTCTCGCGACACTCGTTGACATTTATCATTACGACTAATCGGAGGGACTTGTTTTTTTTTTCTTTTTTCATTCAAATCTGGCAGAGTTTGCGGCCACACGCTGGTGGGTGCGAGCCCCGGGAGATGTAGTTTCGGTGGGTGCCGCTGCGCCGTACCGGAGGATCCGGTTCGGGCCAGGCAGGATCGGCTCGAAGATAAGTTTAAAAACTTCTCGTACTCTTGCACTTAACTCCGCGATCGGAAAGTGGAGCACAAGTTTCCAGGTAAAAATTATCGCGCTATAACGTTCGCAAAAGGTTAACGCGCTCGGTTCCGCGCGTATTTCTCTCGTTACACTAATAAGTCTCGTACCTAATTAGCGATATACTATATTTTCTCTTGCAGCGAACTGCAGCGGAACGTGGCCGATCCTGAGTTCTCGGTAATCGATGAGACCAAGGTAAAGATTTTAAATGGCGAGTTTAACGGTCGTTATTTCGAAGAAATCAATGCAGTCTACGCAACTTGTACATTTTTACGCCCACATTGAGAGCAAAAAGGACGGTTAATTTCGTTTCAAATTATAGTCCTTTTTACGCCAAATTACAACTGTATCTTTTTGTCGTTCCAACGAAAAAGTAATAATAGCGACAGACAACACACAAGAGATTATTATTGACAAGATTTCTATTAATTTCCGAAATTTTTCGCGGGTGTGAATACGGGTTCATAAAGGTCGTCTCAACTGTGAAGTCACTGGTAAATTCAATGCGATAAATTCGATACGTTATTGTTCCTCTTAAAAAAGCTCGAATTCTCGCCAGGCAAGAATCTCGTGTTTTGACAAAGTCTAAGCATCCGCGAAAAAAACGGGATATCTTCTGCTTCACTCTCGTCGAAAGCCCCGTGATTTCCAGTTCGCAATTGCTCTCACGCCAAGCCCGGCTCTTCAATATATTTTCGGATCGCTAAAAATTCGCCGTTGAAACAATCGCGATCGCGAGTGCAATGAAAAGCGGATGGTCGGTCGAGATGGGTCTCATCGACTCGAACTTGAATAAAAGCTGAACATCGTTGAACATCAAGACAAGTCGATGTGCGGACCGTTAAAATGCCTGCCAAACGTTACATTACGCAGCGCGTGGACGCGTCGATTAGCAACAAGAAACGCCATCGCGCGGAGGTGACGATGCGGCGAGTTTACTTACAAAACATTTAAGCATCAATGGTGCGCCTTTGTAACGCCTAGTTGAATTGAAATTGCACCGACAACTCGAGATAGACGCTCATTTCCATAACTAGATTCAACGTCGTCGATCGATGCAACTTACTGTGAATCGAGCAGCCTCGGCTCGCTCGCTGCTTTAAAAACGTGTAATGTCGGGCGGGCTACAGCACGAGTGATAAAATTGAGGGGACTCGCGAAAATAGAGAGAGAGAGAGAGAGAGAGACACGCGTGTCTCGCGAGGAATATAAATAATTTTTAAAGCGGAGAACACAGGCGAACGCGCCACCTATTCAAGTTATTTCGAAATGATATCCCCGGCTTTACCGACGACAGCCAGTTATCGATCCGTGTGTATAAGAGAACTGCCGTACCGCCGCCGCCGCCGCCGCCGCCGCCGTCGTCGCCGTCGCCGCCTCCAACGTCGACGACAGCGACGGCGAGCAGCGACAATCAACAGATGCCGCCCGGCGTCGTAAAATTTTGAGATCCCTCCGCGCAAATTGAAGGAAATTGAAGCCAATTTGTATCAATCAGCCGTCGCGGCCGTACACATTCTCTCTCTCTCCCGGGCTGTGTGCACGTAGCGTGCTGGGACTAATTTAACACCCGATGTGTCGGGTCGCTTGATTAACCGTCACGGTCGTTGTACGTGCTTCGAAAGAAAGGGCATTCCGCGCGAAGCGTAGACTTTACACGAGACACTCCGCGCGGAAATCTGATTTCCGTCGATCGCCGGATACGCACACGCGATGTAGATGCAAATATTTAACCGGAGACGAAAAATCAATAGCGCCGCGCACACCGTCGCGGACGAAAGTTTGTCTTTTTTTCTCACCCCTTTCTCGCGGGGGGAACCCCGTCGCGGCGGGGACGCAATGAAACTTTGATACACATGAAAATTGCCGTAGTCCAGCGTGAAAATTCGATTGACGCTGGAATACCTAACGTGACGAAGTATCGCGCTTAAAGGTAAATAAAAATCTATATAATGTAAACGATCTCCTCTCTCCGAGGGGCAGGGAGAAAATTTCCAACGGTTTCTATATCGGAAGAGACGGGCGAGGCGGGAAGGGAAAGGAAAGAGAGAGAGAGAGAGAGAGAGAGAGAGAGAGAGAGAGAAAGAGACAGAGAGAGAGAGAGAGAGACCGAGTCTATTATTTATTCTCGTCATACGGTATACAGTAGCTACGGCACAGAATTTAGCGGAGCGCGATCGATCGATCCGGCGGATCGGATTATCAGAAGGGCTCGTCGCGCGCGCGCGGGCCTGGTTATCGATTAAAGTTCCCCCGGCTCCTTTTACGTGCGCTTCTCTCGCGGACAATTTCGAAATCGCTGACCGAGGATGGTCAGCGGAATCCGCTCCGGTAAATGCGTAATCGTGCATAAATCAGCGGAGAAGGAGCGCCGCCGCGCGCGATGCATATTTATGCGCCCACGGCTCCGAGAAATTAAATTCACACATTTCATCGGCCTTGAAACATGCGCATATTTTGCGGCGGAATGCTGAGAATGCAAGCCGGGGCGGAGGGGAGGGGGGGGATGCGCCAGGCTGGAAGAGATTCGTTCTTCCTCTTCTCGTGATCCGCCATTGTCACGCATACTAATTGAATTGCCCTCATTAAGACGTCCGGAATCCGGACGTCGTCGCGCGCAGCGTACTTGTTTCGAGCGATTTGCCCGCCGATTGTGCGCCGAAACTTTCACGCAAGTCTCGTGTATCTTCTCGCCCGGCGTCATGCGACGCTCGTATTACCACCGGATACATCGCGCGCGCGTGAAGAAAAAAGAAAAAAAAAAGAGGAAGATGAAAAAAACAAGACTTCCTTACGCAGGCCTAGCTCATATTTATTCATACGATCTCGACCGTGAATTACGATCCCGATTAGCCGGACGATGCAACGTGACTGTTTCGCGAATGTCTCGTCGAGCGTCGTCGGGTCGTAAAGAAGAAGGAAGAGAACGAGAGAGAAGCCGCGCGTAACTTTCTTCGCGGAGAGGAGGGTTTCGCTCAGCGATCTCGTAGAGGTTTATTCGCGCCGCAATTTTCCAACGTCACGTGGTGAACAGAAGAACTGAGTGATCCAGCGCGTTATTGCGCTGTGAGATATTCGCGCACTTCCGATCGACTAGGTTCTTGCATTATCGCCGTGCTCCGACCCGTTCGACAACTCGTATCCCATACGTCTTCACGTGCGCCGTCGTGCGCGCAAGATTGAGGATTGGGAAATGGTTTAATGAGCCGTAAGTAGGTAATTGCATGCGCGCGCGCGCGCGCGCGTCTAGCATGGCGTCCGCAAACGGTAAATAGGCTGACGGCAACGAAGATCTATTAATACATGGACGGCTTTATATTCCGGTAAATAACGGAGACGTGCGTCTTAAAATAACGGCTAAATCGAGCGGTCTGCGGCGGGAGAAAATTGTGAATGGACGCGGGTCAATTTTCTCTCACCGTGTAGCGTCGCTTATCGGTCGAAGTGCGCTCATACGTGGCATGCGTGTGCATTAAAAGCGCGCGGGTAATAAGCGGGAAACGGAAATAATTTTCGGCGAAATTACCTTCCCCGAACGTGCACCCGCATGCAGCGGATTAACGGGCGAGAAGAAATCCGAGAGAGATTAAAAGGATAACACGATATCGAGGGAGGGAGGGAAAGAAAGAGAGAGGTGCAATATCTAAAACGTTAAGTGTCAATGACGAGCGTCAAAGACGACAAGGAAGCGATGACGTCGGGTATTATCCTGGGATATTTTCTCTCCGATATTTTCAGGAAGATCAAATTCGCGGGAATCATATTCGCGGATCGCGCCGCGCGTGACGGAAGGCCGAGCCGGAAACAACGAACGTACCCCCCCCTCTCTCTCTCTCTCTCTCTCTCGCTTCTGGTTTTATTAGAAACGAGAACGCGAACAAATATGATATCAGTCGATTACGCATTCTCTCTGGGCGTATAGTTTCCGCGCGCATAATCGCGAATATATGCACGATTTCCTGGCGGGGCCGATATGTATATGCGCGCGCGCGCGCGCGCAGTCTGTACAGCATTGTCAGAACTTGATGACGGTACTTCGCCGCGTGTATTTGCGATTTATGCAACGAATAAACTTTGATTTACCGCGTATGCGCCGAGCGCAATTTCTGCCGCCGGACAAAGGGAAAAAGGCAACGAAGTTATACGTCCGCCCGCGTATCGCGCCATCATGCCGGCGAACGGGCTATTGATTAGACCTGCCTTTTCACGGATACTTGTTAAAATCGACGAGCGTCGCGCGACTATTTCATCCGGTGGCTCTTGTCCAAGCGGCCCTACCGCGCGATCTCCCGCCCCTCCCCCCGCCCCCCTTCGCCGACCCCTATTGCCCGCCATCCCGAGAGGAGTTTCATTCGCCGCGGAAATTTGAAAAATCCAACGCTCTTAATCTCCCCCCGCCGCGCCGCCCGCGTCCTCTCTGGATCGCGTCAATCCCTCCCGCTGCCTCCAACGCCGAGTTACCCGCGTCTTCATATTTCCAGCTGCACTGTGTAAACAGCGATGAATAATCTTGAGAAATACGATACATCCGCAGAATACTCCATTAGTTAATGTTGCACACACAACAGTGGCAATCTTCCTGGCGCTACTGCTCTCGCAAGTAAATGCACTTCCAAACAAGTCGGATAATAAATCAAATTACGCGTCTGCTAGCAGCAACTTCTCGCATATTTCTTGCGCGCGAAATATAGCGCGCAAGCGGGACGGGGGATAACTCTTAACAATCGCCGCTGAAAATATTTATCGCGTTACTTCACAAATACACGTGTCCATTATAAATCTCGCCAATAATTCAAGTATCCCGCCCGCGTAGCCACCTCGCCCCCTCCCTCGCCGCGCCGCGCCGCGCGACCGCTGGTATCTCTCTTTCTTCCGCTTGCCGACGTTTCCGTGAGAGGGGCGCATTGTCGATTAAATATACAAAATCCCGACGTGCGGTTGCAGCCTTCCGTGAAATTGCACGTTGCGCAGCGCTCGGCAAATCCAGCGCGCGCTCGCTGGAAGCCACCTCCGGCTAGCAAAACGCCAGTCTCTCGTCCGACGGACGGAATCTTCTCCTCCTTCGTTTGATCGCGGCGGGGAAAAATTCGCCGATATCCTCGTCTGCGTGGGCGACCGGCTGCAAGAGGGAGAGACGAGAGGGAGGAGAAGCGAGTTATAGCCGCCAAACGCGCGTAAACCGGCAAGAACGACTTCCTCCTCGGGATACTCTCGTTTCCGCACACCTACGCGGAACGGGCGAAAAAAAAAGAGGCCGCCGTGCCACGTCGAAATTTATTTCAACTTACCCCCCGCGACTTACAGCTCATCCATCTTTCCAGGCCGTAAAGCAGAAGCCGAGATGCGAGCTACGTTTGGAGGGCCGCGCGCTGATGAAACGTCGACACTGCGCGGCGAACACGCAACAGCACGCGTAACGAATTTACGGCCACCGAGACGGAAGACGTTCGTACATAACGGTACAAGGATGGCCCTCGAGCCGATAGCCGACGGTAGCGTGCAAAAGGCTAAAAGTAAAACGCACGCAAGGTACGGGCGAGCCCGCGAGAGCAGAGGCACCGAGGAAGAAGAAGAGGAGGAGGAGTTGAAAACTCCGCGCAGAAACACGTGAGTGAAGAAGAGAGCTGCTGCGGGAAAATCGTGGAAAAAAGAAGCCTCTGAAACGCGATTGGAATACCGTGGTCTCGCTCGAGCGATCGCAAGACGCGAGGCGAAGTATATCGCGCATCGCTCACGCTGATACGCTCCATTTGAAAAAGGGCGATGCAACGCGCGCGCGCGCGCGCGCATGCGGAGAATCGTGTAAACGTAACAGTAACGGTGTGTCTGTGCGTGATACTTTATATCGCAAAATAAAATCCGAGCACAAGTGGCTTCTGGGACTTCGTTTTTCAGCCCCACTGGCTGAAAACACTGAAATATGAAATATCGTGTCCGAGCGGACAACATCTTGCGCAAAAACGAGCCGGACGTTGCGCGCGCGCGTGTCGTAATGCGCGGCGAATTCCGGCCGCGGATACCTCGGTCGCTTGAAATTCGCGCGATACACCTCGGCGATGATCGTGCCGACGCGTGCGTGTCTGGAAGACATCGTTGCCTCGCGCCGTTGTGTCATGAACATGCCTGACACTCGCGCGAGGTACGCGATGATGCGCGCATCGTCGCGCTCTCCGTACAATAACGGTTCGCCGGCTCGGCGACGAGTACCATCCGCGATCGTCGATGCATATATGGTAGGCCGATCAGATGTTCGACGGGCGAGCGGCTTACAGATACGATTGTCGCTCAGACGGTTCTTTAACGACGGCTCGTCACACGTCTCGTTCGACGGACGAGACGTGCCGGGTCCAAAGAAACCGCTCGCCCGTGACGCATCGAGCTCTCGCGACCACTTGTACAAGAGTATCTGTCTCGATTGTGAACGTCGTTGCCTGTCATCGGCAGATTCTTCGATGTACTTTGAGACGATTTTCTCCTCCCTCGAGAAAAACCTGACAAAGTGTACGCTTGGCTGTGTGTGCGCGTGCGGGACCCGTATAATAAATTGAACGCTAGACTGCCCGCCGTGTAGCCCGCCTATCCTTCAATCGATCGCGGGCTCGCGGGAGAAAGAGAATATATCATACGGAGTGAATAATTTTTCGATCAATTTCGCCGGGATCAAGTTCCTCCGCGTGCGGCGCGCATGCGAAAGCGATAAGGCAGATTTAGGAAAATTTTCGAGATCCCTCGCGCTCGAGAGTCTTCCTCCGTCTTTCGTTCCGATGCGCGCCTCCTCGTCTCTTTCTCACGATTAACGCGTGCCATGCGCGGCGTAAGCCGCGTCGTCGTCGTCGTCGTCGTCGGGTCGTCTGACGCTTCCGTCATTTAGAAAAAAAGAAACAAAAAAAAAAGAAAAAAAAACACATTGTCACCCACGTAGCGTCGCAATGAAGACGCGCGGCGGATCGTGTCGATCCCGTTGGCGGTCGGACGGACAAGCACACCTTCCATGGAAGCGACTCCGCAAAACGAAGCCAACAAACGGCCGCGCGTCGCGTCGCGTCGCGCGCAGTGAGACTCGAAACGCGCCGGGACAATTATTCGATAGAACGACGCGGAAAATCGACATGTACGCGTGTCGCTTTCCCCGAGTCGCGGCGGTATTCCACGCGCGCCAACATGGCGCGTTCGTATCGAGGATCTGCCAGACTCAATAACGTTGTATACAGACACCAAAGCCGCCCGCCGTGCAAAACGTCGCGGCTTATCCGTCAGTCTCTTAGGCCACTTGGCGATATTGACGTGGATGGAAAACGCGAGGCAACGCGAGCGGCGCCGGTACGTCCGCGTTCTCGCTTCGCGATTAGCTTCGCGAGCGAGGCCGAGCTGTTGTTTCGCACCGTTTTCCCGATTTTACGCTGCCGCTCTCGGTCTCGAATTCTCGCCGGCTGTTACTCGGACTCTTAATCTAAAACCTAACGATAGCAGGTCCATAAAACGGCCGGGATAAATCTGCAGTAGCAGCTGCCGTATGGGACCATTAAATCTTAACAGCCGCCGGTGTAACCGTTGCTTTCTGGAACGGGAGGTAGCTAGGTAGATAGGTGGGTAAGCGGCTCTCGGGCTTCTCCCAATGCCACCTGTAGCAAGTGCGGGGCTAAATCGAAATCAATCGGTTGCCAGGGACGAGCCGGTGCCGACGGGGTCGGATTAGTCGTGAATCTGAGCCGCGGTGCACGCGAAGCAGCTTTTTTTCTCCACGACGTGTGCGACGTGTGCGCGAAGGTGAATTTCGAGTATAAATTTCGTCGTTGGTTCGCGCGAAGATATTTTTCACGGATTAAACATCGCGCGAATGTGAATTGTTCGCGCTTTTCCCGGGAATTCCGCGGGGCCGCGCGGATTCGCTGATAATCAATTGTGCATTGTTGCAAGTTGCGGAGCTATAAACTACCGGGAATTTTGCATATAATTCGCCGTAGCGTAAAGCAGTATCTATGTGAAACAGCATCGCATAAATAACATTAATGATCTCTCTCGCGGCATGCGCAATGTTAAAGAGCACGTAACATGAAGCGCGCCGTTTCATCGCGACTTTTATAAACTACGAATATCTACGAAATAAATGAAAACGCTGAGAGTACGCGAGTACGCAGCCGCGAGATGAATGCGCGATTCTATTCCACGCGAAAATTATGCGTCGTCTGTCTCTCTTTGATTCAACTCTCGAACGATAAAAATATGCGCGTTGCACGCTCACATTTTTTCATTTGTGTCAGCAGTGGACACAAAAATGGAAAGAAATGTGTGTGTATGTGTGTGATTCCGAGAGTTATATACTTCGAGAATACTTTTCCCCGTATATTTCCTTTTATTCAATCTTTCGTTTGATTCTTCTATGGCGCATATATACAAAACATTTAAAAAATTTAGCTTATACAACATTTAGCACAAAATACAATGAATCGCTGCATCTCGCATCGCCACGACAGGATCGGCGTGGGTGACTTCCAAGTGGAGTGTCTCGCGCCTCATCGCGACGTAATTGCGACAGAGATCAGTCTGATCGGCACTTGTAACATCGGTACTGTCAAAGAATCAAGCGAGCCAAGCCGTATCCAAGCGTCTCTCGACGTCATCGTCCTCTCGCTTATTACGACCCGCCGATTCACCTCGTAAAATACACGCGCGCGCTCGCGTGCGCGCGATTTGGATGTTCTTCCAGCGTGCTTCGAGAATGTCCGATCGTCACTGTTAAAAATACCACAGCCGACCATATATCGAACCGGGGACGCTGTTCGATATACGCACATCGGATTCCCCAAACGCCGCTCCGCCATAAATCCCGGCGAAATCTCTGGCATGCCGCGGTATCGACGAGGCGCGCAAACCGCGTCTTCTGGATCGATCGGACAGCGCGCGGACACGACCGGTGCGCAATCAGCGATCCTGAGCGATCGATCCGCCGCCAACCGCGCCTCCGTCCGTGCTCGAATCTGTCGGTCGGACCGCTGCAATCTCTCATCTGCGTTGGCCTCGTTATCGGCCAGGCGAGGAGGCGGGCCAGAAGGGCTGTACAACAGGCCGCCGGCTTCTCCGATCGAAAGAATGCCCAAGAGAGTATCCTCGCTGTCCACCGAAGAAGGATCCCCCAACACGAGCGATTGGGCACGTCCGAAGACTCGCCGATGACATGGTCGAGCGAATCGAGCGAGGCATTAACGCGACAACCGTCGCCAGCCGCTGGCTGTATCCTGTATGATCAGCGGAGACAACTGGAGCGCGCGCGACGGTCGACAGACACCAGCAGCAGTGCGCGGTTCTGAGCTGCATCTTTTCTCTCTCTCTCTCTCTCTCTCTCTCTCTCTCGCTCTCTCTCGCTCTCTCTCCCTCTCTGTCTGTCTCTCTCTTTCTCTCTGTCTCAATGCATAAAAACAAGTCGAAGTGATGGCGTTTGATTATGAAGGGAGCCCCTCGGCCCAGGGCGACGTTTCCCGCGATCGACATGAGAACGGCCTAACCACCGATTAGTAACCACGGCAAGAACATGGTGACGCAGAGCGCCGCCAGGCAGCTGGCGCACATCGCCAACGGACTCGCGGCCGGCTCGGTTTCCGCCTCGACCGTCCAGTACTCCTCGTCGCGCTCGTACTCGTACACGTCGACCTCGCAGCGGAAGCAGACGCGGGCGGTACTGCTCTTCGGGTGCGAGCTGTCGCGGCGCAGCAGCAACGCCGAGCCCTTGCGCTCCAGCTTCCAACCGGGTTCCTGCATCAGCATCTGCGTCATCTTGCGTCCTGGAATGTCGTGAGATTCACGGCTCGCGAACGCGAGGAAAAGTACGCCGGCTGGCTCCCGGGAAACTCTCGGCGGCTCGGCCGGGATCGCTCGCTCGCTGCTCGCGATATCTTCCGCGAGGCGGAAGTACGTTCTCACGCGGAAAACAGCGCCGCTAGTTGGCTCCCAAAGTTGCGCCGCTTCCGCGACAATATCTTCGCCGGCGTCTCGTCGTCGTTGTTCCGCGCCGGAGGAGGACCCGCTGATACCTGCAAGGAAAGTTCCAGCATAAATCGGCGGATCGCGCACAGTAACGTGATGGTGGCGGCAGTTTAATAACAGGTCGCGCGCGCGCGCGCACATACACACATACATATACGGTGGCTCAAAAGGATGATCGCGCGCTTGATGCGGAGAGTTTCTATTAAACTATCGCTATTTTGCGCGTCGTAAAATTGCCGCGTTGTGTGTTCGATTCGACGTGACAAAGAGCCACGGGGATCGACCGCCGGCTTGTTGTTGCAACTTGGCGCGCGTGCTTTTTTCCTCCCTACCTATCTCCCTCCCTCCCTCTCTCCCTCCCTCTCTCTCTCTCTCTCTTTCTCTCTCTCTCTCTCCTGTTTTCGTTTTGTCGCGCAATGAAACGATCAGTTTCGTTTAAGTGCGCTACGTGCGCACGCACTGGTTCGTTCAATTTCGCACGATTACATTCAGCACGCTCGAACACGCGCACGCGAGAGCGCGTGTTTTTTTACTTCATCTATTTCAGTCTTTCGTTTAGTGGTGCTTGCGAGAGCGAGAGTTATATATATATTTTTAATTTGCACGCGCATACACACACACACACACACACACAGTGGGCAGTGTGCGTACATGTATATCAAATATTTCGAATTACACCGTCCGTGCGCAAAATTATTTCTAGAATTACATACATTCTTTTGTTTTTTTCGTTTAACCGAACGATGTGTGCGGTCACCCGCGGAGTTCCCGAATCTCCCCGGTGCGAATGCTTCTCTCCCCCCCCCCCCCCTCAGTCGTCCCGCTTGCGTTGTCGAGCAAACGTCGCGTTTTACAAAGCCGTGACGGCCGCGGGCGGAAAGCTACACAGAAACCGGTCGTAGTCCGTCAGGACAGCGCGGGTGATTCATCAGCTTCCCGTCGGCAGAAACGAGAATTAATCGAAGCAACTTCGACAAGTTCGCCGCAGCTTCCGGCAGCGAGATCGCGAGGCTGTTAATGTTTCCCGTCGAACGGCCAAGCTGGCCGCTGACAAAGCCACAAATTTACGAGGCCGAGCAATCTCGTAAATGTACCGAAAAACGATCGCGAGCGAAAACTCTGCCAAGCCGGTAACGAGCGATAAAGTGCTCCGGCGGGCAGTCGCGTAATTGCAAATAACAAACCGCTTTTATTTTCTATGTAATGGGAACGTATGATTTCGCGCGCTCGCGCGCGTCAGCCTAAATAGATGCGTTACAATTCCCCGCCGCTTTGGATCGATTCGCGCATTTCACGTATTCAACGTGCGCATTTTGTGCGTGTAAATTGTTTTTTACACGACGCGAGTTTGAAGTGACTCAAAGGAAAAAAAGAAACGTCGGGGGAGGGGGGGAAGGGGGAATAACATCGAGATAGATTTCATCCCATTTGTAAATGACAATGGAGGTGCAAACTCACGCGACAATATCAATTTACGGGATTTTCCTGCTGCGAGAGTCTGGAAAATTGCTTATCAGATATCTCCCGATAAATCCCGCGCGATAAATTTCCAGCCCGGCTCTTTTCGCCGGCAAGTACAAAGTAACGATTAAACATTTATCGCGGACGGGCAGCAGCCCGACGAAGACATCTGAGGGGAAAGTTAATATAGAAGCGAGATGCGGCGTTTAAACGCGTCCATGTTCCCGGCAGATCGTCTATTTTCTATGCTTTGTTTGCCGTGGCTCCCTGGTCAATTCCCAACAAAGTCCTGAAATACTCGGTGTCGCACTGCAGGCGATTACACTGCAGTTTGTCGTGCCGATGATTAAAGCCGGTCGAATTAAATCCGTTTGCATGCGAGGCCAAACAGAGCGAGTGACAATGCATCCCTAATTACAGGCAGACGACTCACGTCAACACGGGCGGGCACGAAAAGCGGACTCGAGATTACCGTTATTGAGGAAAGCACGCGCGCTCGTGCTCGTTATCGTATTATCGCGTGTCGTCTCGCTTCTTCGTTGATTCAGACAATTTATTATTCGCGGAGGCGTACACATACAAAAGAAAAAAAGAAAAAAAAAGAATTGTTGTTTCTCGAGGCGAAGGTGTACGTGCGATTTTCGTCTCCGATATTCTGCGATGATGATGATAAAAATCGTAAAATAAAATAAACGTGCCCGAGAAAAATTTCTCCAGGTGTCGGGGCTTCACGGGAGGGGAGCGAGAGGGGGATGTCCCGAGTCGCACCCATCCGAACGTGCTTCATCTCGATTTACTGATGATGTGAATACACACGCAAGGCGCAAAGGGAAAAATTTCATTCATTTTATATATGCATATGCATAGGAAATTCAAGCCGTGACATAAATTTAAATGACACAGTATCCAACTTTCTGAATAACAATATACAGGCATACAGCGGCGCACATAATGAGATAGTAATTTATTGCAATATTAATATCCCGCATAATTTGGCGAAAGTTACAAGCCGCAAATGTCGTTCGGCTCAACAAGTAGTTTTCCGTGACGGAACTTTTAATTAGTTAAATTCAACTGTAATAATAATACCGATAACGCGAAGTAGCTAACACTCTCTCGTGAACGGACTTTACAAAGCAGCTGCATTATCGTCGCGAGTTTCTCAATGCCCTCGAAGCGAGAGAGACGCAAATTGAGACCAAGTGCCACAAAGTATAACTTACGCGACCACCTTTCTTAAAGCTAGACGAGAGTAATGAAACTTCCTCAGACTTCCTCTCATCTTCGTGTGTTTTACTTTCCCGCAAGAACAATGGCTGTTCGACTGTCTTAAGTTCCATCTCTCTCTCTCTCTCTCTCTCTCTCTCTCTCTCTCTCTCTCTCTCTCTCTCTCTCTCTCTCTCTCTCTCTCTCTCTCTCTCTCTCTCTCTCTCTCTCTCTCTCTCTCTCTCTCTCTCTCTCTCTCTCTCTCTCTCTCTCTCTCTCTCTCTCTCTCTCTCTCTCTCTCTCTCTCTCTCTCTCTCGAGCGCGTCGTTGTCCTCCAGGGAAAGAACGCGACGTAGAAATTAACACATCAAATGAAGTTGAATGCCGGCGTGGATGCTCGAACAATGGAGGATTTGTAAGTATAAAAGCGGCCGATGCATTCATCGAGCAAAGTTCAATTCAGACTGCATTAGTGAACTCGAGCGTATCAAGTGTTCTAGCGATCGCGAAGTCAAGCTGAAACGAGTGAAAATCACAGCGCGATTACAACCCGCCTGCGTTATTGCGATGAACGATGGAGAAGCGCGTGTGACAAATTCACTGATGCAAATCCATTCGGACTCGAGACCGGGGCGAGAGGAAACAAAAGGGAGCGCGCAATACGAGAAGATTGCTTAATTTATCTGCAGACTTATAACACCATTTTATTTCGTACGGCTTGAAAATAAGACTTTCAGGTGCGTTATTCTCGAAAGCTGGCTCTGGGTCATAGTCTCTCTCTTCCCCGCGCTGTCGTCTGGACTATTCAACGTTAAAGCGCAGCATACTTTGCAGAGACATAACGCGAGTGCGAGCGAGCGGGCGAGGCAGAGAGCTAGCCTTCTCTCGAGATTATTTTAATCTCGATGAAAGTAGGCAGCATACCGGACTCATTCAATTATAAGACAAATTACGACTCGAGAGCCAGGTCACGAGAGCCCGCGACGACGAGAACGCGTCGAAGTTTGCCGAGAAAACGCGCGACGCTTTATACTTCGTCGAGTTATCGTGGTCCGGAAGGTTGCAAGCAGTGGCGTAACCGGAGTTTCTCTCCATGGGGGTCAATAACTGGCACGCGATAAGCGATAAAAATCCGGTGACGAAGTACCGATAAAAGAAACATCGAAAACATTTACCCCCCCCCCCCGTTTAGCGAGTCGTCGGTAATCTTTTCTATAGAAACAAGCGTTCGTCCGTCCGTCACTCGACGATCGAGCGCGCGCGTTATCGAGAGAGAAAAGAAAGAAAAACACAGGCTGCAAGCGAGATTGAAGAAAGCCTGATCCGCTGGAAACGGGCCCATTGGCCGACATTTCCTCTCGGACATCTCACGGATTATTATCTCCCGGACGTTCACACACGTTAATGTAACGCGATACACGCGAGCGATTCGAATCGCCAGGTGGAACTTGGCCTCTGTATTGTCGCGGATCGCAGCTAATGATATACAGATGACTAACCCGAGAGAGGAGGCGATCTTTGCTACCGGGAGAGTCGACGGAATGCTCGGTATTCTCGAACGAAGTGCAAGAACAAAGTCCCTTCCCCCCCCCCTGCCCCGTGCATTAGTAATTCCGCAAACTTCTCGACTCGCGGAAAACACGTCGTGACATTTCTTGCCGCATTCCGCGACGGTGCTTCCGAGCGGACACTTGTGCCGCTTTCCCCGAGTAGCATCGGGGACCTCGCAAAAATCGCGGCGATCCGCGGCCGAGAGTAAACATTGATACGCGGGCAAAACAGGGGCTCGATGTCGCGACACGCACTCATTTCTTTGATTACGCCACTGAGTCGCGGATGAGAGATACTTCTCCGTGATTTCTCCGACATTCGTACGACGTCGTCGTTTCTACCGCAGCGGAAATGGCACGTGCTACTCGCAGCTATGCTAATGTGCGCGTATAGATACGGCGAGAAAGAGCTCGTTGTGGAGTAACGACCTCGTTTGAAATTGACCTTTACGCCGCTCGCACGAGTGTGCAGGTGGTACGCGCGCTTCAGGGTCCACGCTCGCCATGGTGTCATTGATAATTCGCGCGGCGAAGTCGGCGCGCAGAAAGAGAAAATTCCACCTGCACGGCACGGCAGAAGTTGCTGTCGCATCGAGACAACACGTCCGATAAGTGTCCGCAACGAGAGCACTCTCTCTCTCTTTCTCTCTCTCTCTCTCTCTCTCTCTCTCTCTCTCTCTCTCTCTCTCTCTCTCGTCCGCGGACTTAGCAATTTATTATTTATTATTAGCGTGTTGGACTTTTAATCGCGGCGTATCGTAACGAGAGTGTTTTCCAGCGGCGGGAGACCACTCTCGACTCTTGCCTCTGACGAAGTTTAATTGGATCACAATGTCGAGGATCGCATAATTTCTGTGTCGCAAAAAAAGAAGCGCCGCCGCTATCTCGTCGGGATTAAGCCGCGGAGAGCCGAGTCGCGGATAAGTAAGAAATTCGCAAAGTAAAAAGGAGGAAAATTTTATCCCATATAATGTGCCGAGCGGAGAGCGCAGAGAACCGCAGAGCGCGCAAATCGAGGTCGAAACGCGCCGCTCGCAAACGATCGGTATCGCGAATGAGGCTACCGTCGAAATTGGATTTTCGCTCACACAGCGTGATATTCGCTCTCTCGGACGACGACGGAGCGTGGAGCGGGCCGCGGAGATGCGCGCAGTGCGTGCGAAAAGTTACAACTCCCTCCCCTCCCTCTCCACGAGTGGCGATAACGAAGAGACATTCCCGCGCGATAGCCCGTGATTCGTTATCTACGAGATACGCGGGCATTTATTATCTCCGCGCGCGCGATGGATGCCGCGAGCGGGAAAGCCGAGAAGCCCGATAGCCATACGTCGCGAAAGACATTTCATTTGAAATTTCCAGTCGCGCGCGAGGAAACCGGATTGGTGTAGGATATCCTAGAAAGAGGATGATGATATTCAGCCGCGCTCAACTTACAGCGGCGTAGTTGCCAGCCGGATAGTTGCCTCGGCGGGCAAGGGGAAACGAGAGAGGCAGGCACGTCCCAATTTAGTAAAATGCCGGCAAGAGGAGCCTCTTTCCGCGTTCGCTCCGCGCGCGCGCGTCTTCCGCCCCGACGTAAGTTTCACAGCCGATCCTACGCCGCCTCATGCGCCTACTCTACTCATGCGTGATACCCGCGCGGGTATCTCGTCTGCTTGTCCCGTCTATATCCGGTTACAAATGAAAACGTCAAGTTTTCATCAAGGCCGCGCCAGACGACGCTCTCCCCCGCCCCGGTCAGCTCGAGCGCGAGCGCCGCGGGATACAAACGGGACGCGAAAAAGCTCGCGAATCGTGTCATTTGCAAAGGCTTTTGTAGCTTTCGAGCCTTTTGTTCGACGAACTGGCAAATCTCGACGCGGCGCAGTCGACGCACCACGGGCTTTGATGCTGCAATTCGGTCGAAAAGCGCCGCGCCGCGCCGCGCCGCGTTTCCGTGCACGCGGAATGCACGGCAGCGAAAACGTCGGGGAAATACAAGCCGCACGTCACACCGCGGTGGATCCGGAGGAACGCAGGTGAAAAACGGCAGCGTGGCCGGAGTCGTCGCGCAAGTTCCCCGTTTAATTTCCAAGTGACCTGTATTCCAACGTGATTCTCATTTTGGAGAATAAGGCACAAAGGAACGCGCGCGCGCGCTCTCGGCTCTCTCGACTCGGCGCTGGCGTTGGCGAATTTTCGTCCGGCATTCGGCCGCCGCTGGACCCGCCCGAGAGCGTCAGTGGGGGTCCGCGAAAAACTCGTTAAAAGTAAAAAATTCGCACGAGAGCGAATTTCTCGATTACGTCACGTCGCGCCAAGGTTTCCCCCTGCGCCGATTTTTGCCGCCGATTGCGGCGGACCGGAGAGATTTTCGCGTCGGAACGCTCACGGGCTTCGAAAAGGGCTTCTCCATTGTTCGGGAAGTACCGCGAATGCGTCCCGATCGAAATTCAACGACGAGTGCGTCGCTGCCACGGCACGGCACGGCACGCACCATGCGCGCTGAGAAGTCAGCGGACGCCGGAAGGACGGCGATAGGAGACCGCCCGCGCCGGCCGCACGCGAAACGCAGCCGTTGTTCCTGATTTTATAACAGTCCCGCACGCTGCACGCGAGCGATCGATCGTCCGAATCGACAGATCTGGCGTGGATTCGGCGACACAGCGGCGAGGCCTTCGTAACCCCTTTTCGCCAGTCACCCATTGTCCTCCGCCCACAACGGCAAAAATCTCGATGTCCCCGTTGAAAAAGGGAGAGCCCGACGTCGCGCGCGTCCGGAATTCTCCGTTTTTACAGACGGGAAATATTTTCCGTGAGACGTGAACAGGACGTGCCGTTTCGCGAACGAAGGCACCAGCAGACGAGAAGAATGAGCCTCGCCCACTTTTTTCATACGGACGTGATTATGCTTCGTGAAAGGGAGAGAGAAGAGGGAGAGAGAGGGAGAGAGAGAGAGAGAGAGAGAGAGAGAAAAACGTCCACGAGAAACGTCCATGTCGGAAAGATTATTAAACTCGAATTTTTAGTATCCTTTTACACACGCGCTTGATGTATAAAATATTTCGCTAAATATGAGCATTATTTCAGGGGGAGAACAGAGAGCGAGGGAAAATGAGAGAAGGCAGGAGAGAAGAGAATGGTGAATTCAGCGCAAGGAAACGAGCAAAAATATTTGCACGAACGTTTGTTCCGCACAAGCCTGTTGACGTGTTTTCGCGTTCCAATATAATTCCCGTTTTAAATTGTTTTAAGCTTCGTGCTAGATAAGCATGAAAGTGTATTTAAAAATATAATCAGAGTAGAGTCGTACGCAAAGTATAAAAGCGCTAACGATCGAGCAGTCGAGTGTGGGAGTCGGTTACGCGATACAGCGCAGGTTGTAACAAGAGTTATCGAAGCGTGAGAGAGAGAGCGTTCGCAGTTTGGGCGGGATAAATGTTCGTACGACTTTTTATAGCGCGTTAAATCCGCCCGCCGCATCGCGATCCCAAATCTTACGTAAGCGCGCGCGTGAACGAAAATAACGAGAAAAGAGGAACGCGACGCGTGGCATGGCGAAAGCCGTTAGCGCGCGCCTCGAGCGAGCGCGGTTTTAAATATTCGGGACGACGCACGACCGAAAATTATGTGTGTAATCATTAAACACGAAAGGCATACACTCGCCGTGAAGAGGCCAATTTGGCGGCGAGTATCTGTTAACGTCATTCTCCCGAACGGCGCTTTTTACGAGAAAACCAGACGCGAACAAAAGGCACCTCGCATTCCGACTTCGTATAAAGCGCAAACAATACCGACCGGTTGCGTAATACCAGATACCTTGACCGCGAAAAAACGAAGCCCAGGGAATGTAGATTGCTTTATCCGCTCGAAATGCACAGTAAAACGTGCACGTAGTACGTTTCGTAGCCGTTGAAATTTCCGCGAACCGCCACGGAGAATATACCAGAGTTTTCGCATTGTACGAACGACGAGAGGAGAGCCGATTGTTTCCCGAAATCCAATCAATAGTACGCCCCGAGGAACCAACATTCACAAAATCAATTCACCTCCGTCCGAAAAAATTAATCGTAAACGAGGTTACACAAGGAAAAACGAAAAGATTCCCCGCCCTCCCCCCTTCACTCACTCGAACGTCGTTCGCGTTTCGCTTTTCGCGTTTACGACGTCGACGACGACGTGGAAAAACAATGTGGAATAATAAGCAAATATTGCTTTGTTCATCTCGCGTTCTATTCGTCTGTATTTGCGCCGAGAAACCGCGCGCACGGCTTGAAGAAAGCGACAAACGCCGCGTCGCGGACCATCGCCATAAATAAGATCCGCGAGAAAGAACGCGTGGACACGCGAGAGAGGGACATTCTTCATGAGCGGAGCACAAAACCTCAGCAAGACGGACGGTGGACTTGCTTGAAAAATAGCTCGTCTCGTTGCCGATATTCATTAGGCAAATGAAACGAGGCGAGGCCGCGCACTTGAGGACGCGCCACGTAACCATCGGAGGAACTGCGCGCGCTTCACAAGGATAATTGTATTCTTCGACTCGTCGAGTCGTCCTGTCGCAGCTTGTGCCGCGCCGTTTCGATGGCTTTTTAATTAAGCGAATAAACTCCTTGAAAGTCAATTGCCTAATTGGACCATGTTTATATTCCGAATGCGCTCGAGAGCAATTAGCGAAACTATGGGATAGCGACGCAATCCAGATAGTGTTCCGCCGAACACACAGCCGCGCCGCGTCGTTATTCCGGCATAATGAGCGCGGCAGCGAGTGCATCGGTTCGCGATATTAAAGATCGCGCGGGCGGGCGATTGGGAGCGTTTTAGCCCCGTTAGTTCGTCGAATTTACACGGAGCGTCAGCTGTTTGAACAAACATCCGCGTTAAAGCCGACCGCACGACCGTGCAAGAATCGCCTTTTCGTCGGCGCGCCTTGTGTCAAAATCACCCCCAACACTTTCGCCGCTCGCTCGTCGGCACACTCAAAGTCGTGCCACCAGATTTCACTGCGCATTTTGTTACTTCAGCGACGGCGCTCGTGCTGCGAATGACTTTCGGCGAAAATCGAACGAGCGCGCGCGCGCGCGCGCCCTCGCGGAAACATCTTCCTTAAGTGTGAAATGAAAACAGAACGAGACGCGAGACGCGAGAAACGATCGTTCGCGAGTTCGTGAGGAGACGTCTGGAAATTCGATCTGAAACGCGCGCGCGGGACTTCCGAGTGCACGTCAATTTGAGCCCCTTGAGCTTATCCTGGCGCAAAATTACTCACACAGTAACGCGATCTCTTTCACCGTCTCGTGGCTCGTGGAGATATCGCGAGAGTCCAGATAACCGTAAAGTCGGCCGCCGATTCGCATCGCCGCGAGTCGATCGCGTGAGAATGCAGCTGCCGAGTCGCGATTCCTTATTACGGGCCGGCGCGGCGGCGCGGCGGTGCGGCGCGCGTTTTCGCGCGAGAGAGAACGTCCTCTTAAGGAAGAGAAGCGACCCAAGGGCGTCGCGCGTTGCTTCCATCATGACCACCGACGACGCTGATTCGGCCGAACGCGCCCCGCTCGACCCTGCGCGTATTTAATCGACGGCCGACGGCCATGCAAATTTGCTTGATGCATCGGCACAAAGCCCAGATATGCGTTTACATAGGCGGCAAGGTCGTCACTTACCATTGCTTACTGCGATCCGACGAACGGTCGATATTAGCATTTCAGATGCGGCTAGGTACGCGAGATAACAATCTACGGGGTGTGCCGAAAGTGATCCTCCCGTTTAACAAACGTTTAATTCGGAGCCTCCTCTGGCGCTACGGTGATATGTAAATTTGGAAGATTGTATACATTAGCGGATAAATCTCGCGTACGCGCTCGTGGGAGCGGTAAAATCGCGCACGATGATCTTCGCTCGCGCCCTCGGTGCAGTCTCTCTCTCGTCTCGCCCCGTGTCTGATTTTTGCGCTATCCGTTGCGACTTTCGTGAACAACCGACTCCGGAATAATCGAGAAACGCGATCCCATTCCGCGGATCTATTGAATCTATTTTATTGGATTGAATTTTATTAGATTAATCGTTAGATCCGTTTTTCTCTTCAATGTATGCGTCCCTGAGGATATTAATATCCTGTAATTCGATAGTTTTAATTAAATATTCGTCGAACAAAGGCCATGGAAGGATACGAAATAGACCGTAAAGGAGAAACGCGATTTATATAATTAATTGGATTTTAATTTCTCTCATATCAAGCGTGTCAAATTGCCGGCCTAATTTTACAGTGCATTTTGGAACATATCAGTCATGTGGCGTGATTGACAAATCAAATATTCGAGCGGTTGATCAAATCCTTTCGTTTCAGCCTCCCGCGAGCGTTAATAAAGTTAATTTTATATTCAATCATCGAGACACTAAAGTTCGCCCATATTGCCGCGATATGCCCATAATGCCACCGAATGCAATTTTTGCCGAGCGATATATTTCTCGCAGAACCGCTCACATTTTATACGATACATGTACATCTCTGATCGAACACCGACCGGCTCGAATGCTCAGCCGAGAACGCGAACAAGGAGCGGGTTAGCGATCGCCGCGTTTGAAATAATAACTCGCATTATTCATCGCGCCTTTAATTACTTCGCGCACATCGGATCGCTAAATGGAATATCAATCGCCTTTCTCGAGAAACAACTCGCCGTTTCCGCTTGTCGATTGTGATCGGAGGCGGTCGGTATCGCCGATGACGGCGATAACATTCGCGACACGACATTACGCATTCTGGAGTTTTTCCAAGACGGAACTTTCTGTCTGTCGAGCGACACTCGCCGCCAAAACGCACGGAGAGCTCGTCGCTCGCGTCTGACCCAGAAAAACAAATCTCACGCCGCGACGCACGACCCGAGATCGAGAAAGAAAGAAAGAAAGAAAGAAAGAGAGAGAGAGAGAGAGAGGTGCGCGTTTTCGCTATCGCACTTTTATTTCGGCGGGCGATCATCCAGCAGCCGCGCGACTCTAATGACTCACTGTACGTCATCTCGCGCGCGCTCGTGCGCGGCTTATTTAGTATGGCACCGTATAAACATGACACTGACGCGCATAATGTCCGTAATCGCGAATGAATACTGCACACACAACACAGCGACAATCGCAGCGGTTTATTATGGTAATAAGCGTTTACAACGCGGACAGTCGGCGCGTAATGAAACGTACGGATGCGCACACTCTGGGGCTCTGCCTCTGGCCGTTTCTTAGCTATCCCCCGACGAGCTCGCCGTTCGTGCCTAACACAATCCGTGGCCTCGTTATAAATCTGCCGCGGATAGCAACAAAGTATTCGCGAACGACGTAATTCGAGCGCGTATGCTGTTCGGCCGTGGACTGATAAAACGATTGCGCCGCGCCGCGCGTAGAAAACACCAGGCGGGATTCTTGACATTTTGCGCAAAACCGTCTCGCGAAAAACGACCAACGAGACATTAGCCGCGCGCGATTCATTATTCAACGCGACGCGACGCGACGCGGAAGACGATGGAAACAAGAGAAAAGAAGAACGGCGCCGATCCGTCAAGAGAGTTTCTCTCTCGCTTCTCCCGTGGAGTCACTCGTGAAGAAAAAAAAAACGGCCAAGAGAGAGAGACGCGTAATTTATATTCACGATAAAAATCATTACATCGCGCAACGAGGCAGCGGCGAAACCTGACAGTTCAGCAATCCGTGCGCACACGTCCCCGTTTCTACATCGCTCTCACTCACTCTCTCGTCACACCGTACATACCTGGGGATAAGCGAGACACGCCAGCGCGGCACGTGAGAGACTCTCCTAATGCGGAAATCGCTCGCGAATGAAGCCAACACGACGACGCGGCTCGGCCTGTGTGTACGTACGTGCGTACGTGCGTGCGTGCGTGTGTGCGTGCGTGCGTGCGTGCGTGCGTATGTCGCGGTCGCACACGTGCGGCAACAGCACTCCGTGGGGTAGTATCGAGTCCTCGCAGGTGCGCAATCGTTTAAATACCGGGGAAGCCCACGACACACGTCCTATCCCAACGGCGTACGATGTGCGAATGAAGGGTCGGCGAACGACGAGACGCGGCGCTACTACAGCCGGCGCGGCCGCGGCGCGCGCGTTCGCCACGATTGGCGCTTGCCGATGGCACCGCGCGCGCTGCCGCGCTGCTTCATCCGCCGTTGAGTCGACGGCGCGGCTCGCGCGCGTGCTACACTCTGGAGCGCGCGCACACGGTCACGTCGTCGCCGTGGACACGTCAGGACACCTCACGTTACCGAGCCTTTTTCGCGCGGACCAAGATCTCGCACGAGCACTCTTCTAATAAGAGTACATCTATTTCCAGACGCATGAGCGATGATGCAATTTACCGTTAACGACCAGCTGCCGTGCGCGCGCGATCGCGCTGCGCACGCGGTGCGCGGCGTGTAAGAGAAAATTTATCTCCTTTCGAGCGCGCATCGAGCTACTACTCGTGGACTTTTTAATTGCTCGGTTCGTTATCGAGGCATCCTCGTGCGACAAGAAAATTCCGGAGAGCTCGCAGAAACCCTCGCGACCGCCCGATACGCCCGATGCGCGTTGCACCGCGCGCGCGATGCTCTTTCGAAATTTATCGCTCTCACTCGATCGTGTGTGTGTATGTGTGTGTGTGTGCGTGTGTGTTCTCTGCGCGCACTTCCTGTTATTCAGTTTCTTCGGAGACGCGCGTTAGTAAAAAAGTGCAGGTTTTAAATGACACGAAGCTATTTCTAGTCCATCGAATATTAAAAAGGATACGGTGATTAATATTAATATGTTAAATGTAAACATCAAGTCGAAGGAGAGAGTGACGTGGCCGCCTCGGTCTCTCTCTCTCTCTCTCTCTCTCTCTCGTTTATAAGAAGATTGCAGAAAAAAGTTTATAAGAAGATTGCAGAAAAGAATAAACAGCCCAAGTACCTCACCTCAGGTTGCTGAAACTTATGCAGCAGTCCAGTCTGGTGAAGATGTGTATGATTGAGGCATTTAAGATACAAAATCTCAGCAGATGAATTATGAAAGTTAAAAGACTGATTTCAGAGACAAGAGAGAACATAAAAATGCCTTTTTTACACTTTAAATGATTATGTTTTCACGGTTGTTGACAAAAGTCATTGTGTAAAACTAAATAATCGAGAGAAAATATGTTATTTGACGGACGATGTTTGTGTGCATACACATACCGCGTTCCTACGTGTTTATCTTCGTAGATTACTATCGTCAAATAGGTTCCGCTCAATTTCTGAAACTGACGACCTTTTATTTCCTCAACAACAGTTTGTACAACGATAAGATTCTCAGCGTGTAGAAAACACCACGTTTCATACGAGAGATTTGTATCTCAGAAAATAAATTCTCCGGTAGCAGCTGATTCGTGCAACACTCGTCTGTTATATGCTTCTATTTTAATTTTGTACAGATGCTTGTGTGCAATAATACGTAAAGGTAATATTTACTTAATGAAAATAAAAAGCGAAGAACGTTATTACGTTCGTTTTTCCGTTTCCTTAAAATTCACGTGTTGCGCGTGCAGTACAAATACAAAGCGAACGGTAAACGTCAAGCAGCTGCATATTAATGTGATACAATAATATATTATTTACTCACGTACGCAGAGAAGAGAGAGAGAGAGAGAGAGAGGGAGAAAGAGAAAATACAGTGCACAATTAAAGTGTATTAAATATATTTTAAAATAAATATATTTTAAAATAAATTATAAAAGTTTAAGAGGAGATATGTGTGGAAAACTTAGTGATTACTAAGTTACTCCAATCTTCATTTCGTTATAATGATATACTTTAAGACACGAATTGGTAAAAAATATTATATATACTCTCGTATATATTTTTACCTTGGCATCGTACTGTTAAGCATAATAATATCTTAGATCGCGTATAAAAAACAGGTTGAGATAACATTATTTAAGAGAATAATACATAACGATAATACGCGCTGCACAAAGGCATGCATTCAATTCCCGGATATCATAACAAGGACTCTGTTTGAGTCTCGGCATCGGTATGCAACGTAATAATATCACTTTGGTGTCTTTTTGTGAACACAATTTGCGTCATATCGTTACATAAACATATAATATTGATCTAGCCTGGTCAACGATAAGAAGCTATTTTTCCACAAACGTCCCGAACGATAAAAGCTGCGTTTAATTGAACGAGGGGAATCAATCATTATGAAACAGAAGAGGAGAAGGGGGGAGAGAGAGAGAGAGAGAGAGAGAGAAAAAGGAAGGGAGGGAAAGAAGGAGAGAAAGGAAGAAAGAGAGCGACGTACATCGGATAGAAGCAATATCCGCGGTTCGTTTTAAAGAGGCACTTGCTTTGTGCTCGATTTCACCCAGGAACTGTATAACGACGGCAATTTTTTTGCGGTAATGTGTCGTTCTAGCGACGATACGGATTTTCTTTCCGTTATTTGCGTTACAGTCTTATCGTTTCTCCCACCCTTCTCTTTGTCCTCCCGGTCTTTGTTAACTTACGTTAAAGATAAGGTCACTTTGTCGTAATAACGATGTAAAAGAGAGAGAGAGAGAGAGGAAAGGAGGGAAAGAGAAAGGGAGGGAGCAAAGAGAGAAAGAGAGAGGGAGGGAGCAAAGAGAGAGAGAGAGGGAGCAGAGAGAGAGAGAGAGAGAGAGGAAGAGAGACGGGGAGAATTCGCTCGCTGATGTACTTTAATGTATATCAGCGACAGTGGCGGATTTTCTAATGAGGCACGGAACGCTCGCTTTAAGCTTGGCACTTGATACGGAAAAATGGAAAAGTTGTTAGACAGATGAATATATTCATCTGGGAGGAAATATTATTTTTGTAAAACTTCCGCATAGAAACCTTTGATTTATTATGATCTCCGCGTGTGCCGCGGCGATACTCGAAACTGACTTGCATTCCGCACGATTTCCACCTGCGTTCCACTCGCACGATTGTGTTCTATATTCAGCGTTCTTGATAAGGATTACGAATAAAATGGCAACGAGGTTCGCGTGAAAGCGCGAATTATATCTCGCTGCATAATTCAGACTTGAAATCGTTTCCTCCCTATTTAACTATTGATTTTTTAACATTGGCATTAACTCCGTAATTGTTGAATCCGCCATTGACCAGCAGCGACCAGTCTTCTGTCCTGCATAGTCTCTCGCGAATGTAACCACGGGCGCCTGATACGGCAACAAATTTCGACCACCGCGAGCGAACTTGATGATTTGTGAACTTGGGAAACTAACTCCGACATAAGGTATCCACGCCGCGGTGGAGAGGACGTTCTGGAATTCCTTGAAACTCTCATAAGGATATAGCGAGACGGCCGCGGCGCGGCGAGCTGCGAGAGATGTATCGGTCAAATCAAACTATCAAGTATACTCATACGACCAAATGATTTAACGAGCAACAACTAAAACCAGCCAAAAGGACGGCGACTCCGATGCCGTATCGAGCAAAACTGTTTTCGCTCAACGTCGCGATCCCTGAAGATAAATTTATGCCCGGATACGAGCCAACTGCATGCACCGGCGGCGCCGTGAGTACATCTTCGGAAAATTTTCCTCTAAAACGTCCCTCGAGCCACTCGCTTATCGCCCCCTTATCTACCGTAAAGGAGAAACACCGTGAAATATCGAAACGCGATTCCTCTCTTGCAAATTAACATGACGCGAGTTTATAGCGAGTAACGATCGCGCCGATACGAAGAAACGTCGCGATACAAGTACAAGTATATCAAACCGATTCCTTCTTTCTCCGGTTTTGTTGAGGAAGAGGAAGAAAAGCATAACTTAGCGACACAAGACTGAGCGAGCGAGTGAAATAATAACGCAAACCGAATATCGGGGAATGCTAATTTCGTCTGTTGATGAGAAACGCGTGTAGCTCGGTCGTAGTCGCGGGGTATATGTATGTATAAATCACGGATTGTATAAATCTGTCCTTATCTGACGCGTTCACGTTCGTTTAGAAAAACTAACGACCAACGTCCGTGCTTTTTTTTGGACGCTGCGATAAAGCGCAAAATCTAGCTGGGTAAAGCAACAAACCACACGTGAAAACGGTAACCGCCATGCGTTTCGGCCAGCGATAACTTGGACGGATGTCGTAACGCCGAAGGCGTGTCGACTTGATCGGCCAATCGAGCCCGTTGTGAATCGACTCGACAACGAGGACGAAACCGACGCCTGTGTTTGCCACGGTGTGGTCGGAAATCAGAGCTCGAACAATGCCGCGCTCTATAGAGAACTCGTGTTTTAACTCGAGGCCTCGGCCACCCGCAGAAAGTAACAGCGAAGCTGTCGGGAAGCAAATGAAACTCTACTCCCCGAGTCCCGACGCGAACGGGACTAATAACATTCTCGGCGACTGCGGCAATCGCGACGGGCGGGATTTTTAATTGTTACTCCTTCGATTAGCATCTCTGCGCTCGCTCCCTCTGCGTCGCGCAAAGCTCGACTGCCATCTGTGTTTAAAAGAAGAAAAATCCCGCGCGTGCGTATTCCGGTGTGCAGTTTCCAGTCTTGCGTAAAATTTTGCTTCGTCGATCTCGACGAAGCGAAGAGAGAACGAATGAAGCCCAGCGTCAGATTTACACCTCAATCGTTCCCGTTACTCGGAACAATTCCATGCGGATCGGTTTAACCTATAGCAGGCTAAAGGAATGTTTTTCTCAAGCTGTAATTACTGCGGGCCGGGAGGAGCGATATAAGAGGAGCAATCGGCCACGAAAACGTAAAGGCCGTTTCTCTATCCCAAATCGATACCGATGCCGTACATTACCGTCGACGGTATCGACATTTCTATCGGGACCCCGGGACATAACAATTAAACCGCGGCGGAAAGATTGTGCAAGACGTTCCCTCTCACGGTGGTAATCTACGGAGAAACGTAAAAGCAGTCTCACGCCACGAAGTAATCGACACGGCCCGATAAGATAGTTATCGCCCGATGGAAGATTGTGCGCACAATTCTCTCCCGCTTCACTATCGGCGACGACGTGGACGTCGGAGTCGGGAATGCCCAAATACCTCGTGATATAAAATCGTTGCTCACTCGAAGCCCGGTGAAAAATCTACGTGCTCGACGATATATTGGCGCACTTGAAAACATTCCGCGCATTGATATTGTACTCCACCGTTAAAGCCCACGTAGATTAC